ATGTCGCGAAGCGCTCTTCCGAAACACATCGGCGTTGCACACTGCCGTGAATTAACGCATAGCTTTTGCCGAGCACACCATCCGTCTTCTTCGGAGAGATTCAGGTACAGCAGCACAAAACAGCTAAGCATGCCACTCTGACCTGGAGTCCAGGCAAGTTTCTATCTGTTGCGTTAGGCTCGCAAGGTGGTCCATTTTTTTTCTCAAAGATGCATTCCAAGGGTTAAACGCCTGGCAGTTGCTCTGATCTTCATAAACCATGCTTTCAGCCGCTATTCAGCCACAGCAGAAGCACGCCGGGCCCACAAGATTTAGTCCACCTTCTCGCGACGAACTGCTCTGGCCTTTCAGTTGCAATCCAGCAGCGTTCTTTGCACAATGGCCTAAACTATCTGCGATTGAAGGCCCGAAGGTCTTTGCCTGGATTGAGGCCCGCGCTCTGCTCTGCACCGTGCGCATTTTCCAGCACCTGTGGACTCGAAGCTGTGCCTCAAGTTCAGCTCCATGTTTAACATCCTTGCCTCTTCGGATCCGGTGAACAGTCGTGCAGTAGCCCTGCGGACCTTCCAAAGTTAAAGACCCTTTGAAATGCATATTAGCTGGTGGAAAGCTGGAAGTCGCTTCGACCAAGCTGCAGCTGTGCCAAGATCCTCCAAGAGCTCCGAGGGAGAGCCTGGGATCTGTGCTTAGCTCAAAACGCTTTGAACCTTCCATCCTGATGCCCCCAAGCCTCGCTCCAACGCGGACTTCAGCGCTTGAGGCAAGCCAGCGCATTGGCGATGCATGATGCAAGAATAGAGATGCTGCTTTGAAACTGATTTCTATTGGCCTAGGGCTCCCGATATAGAGTCAGTGACAATAGCCTAGAATCCATAGAAGGGTGTGGCCGACTCAGGTACGGTGTGAGCAAGCTGGCCTACAAACTTGCAAACTGTAAATTGGTCGCAAGCCGCTTCTGCAAGAATGCCAGGAAATCAGGCTTATGCATGATCCACGAGTCTTGGTCTGCTGAACAGAGCCGAGATGCAACGCGAGCATTTGCTGCAGGAGTCGGCTTTGACATCACGTAACGTGCTGCGCTGTCATCGGCTCTGAGAGGTGCAGCAACTTGGCAACGCGCCGGAGCCGGTTCGAAGGTCAGCGCAGGGTCCGACTCCGACAGAAACGTCAGGTCCTCTCCAGGCCCATGTCCACATGCAGGTACCGAAACAAGACCCATTAAGAGGCAAAGCTCAGTATCTCACGTGGCCCATGCCAACCCAATTGCCTGGCTTTGTCTTGCAATCAGACTCATGAGATGCAAGGGGCAAAGTCTGTTGCTCCAACCCACATGTATGTACCGATCAGCACCAGAAAAGTGCACGCTAGACAACACATGCCAGCGGAAACCATAGTGCAAATGCTCCAGAGAGCCGTACTGATCCTTGGAGCGAACTCATGCTAAACCACGCAATGGACAGCCAGTCGTATAGTAAAACCTAAGGCTGTAGTTTGCATAATGCAGGCAGGCTGCAACACAGAATGAATACTGCGATGTGCCAGCCTTGCACTAAAGCAGTCGCATGCTGGCGGGCAAACCCAAAAAAGAAAGCCTGCAGGTGGAACGTGCTGAAGGTTCCCTCGAAGTGGATCAGCTGGCTACCCTGAAGACAAGAGCATTCCAGTGAATTCTTGCCAGCGCTTCAGAGCTGCAGAGAAGTCCTCGTGTGAGGACGCGTTCTTGAGCGAATCCTGCCAGGTCGACTCTCTGCAGACTCTGCAGAAATTTGCAAGGCCCGCTGCACCTGAGCATCATCCTTGAGATTGGCCATGACCATCTGCAAGCGGCTGTCAGATGCCAAAAGACCCTTCCCTCCGTTGCCGAACAACTCTTTGATTGCCGAGTCGTCTGAATTTCATGGCCCGGGAAACCCCGACCAGAGCTTGCCTGCCTGAGCCTGAGGGAAGGAGACATCATTCTTCCGCAATTGCTGAGGCACCTAAGTTGTCAAAACCCTGAGACAAGAAGAGTTTTCCACGCACGTTGCGAGATCCGATGTCCAGCGATTTCAGCAAGCGTCTCCAAACGGCAGCAAGATTATTGCGCAAGTCTGGGCCCGGATGCGGTGCAGGGTCGGGTGCTGCCGCAAATCAAGTCTCTATCCAGGTTTGGGCTCGAGGTTTGCATCAGGCTCGGGCACGGGTCCGAAACTTTTTTCAGGTCTGGATCAACATCCGAATCCCAAACAACGCCGCATCCTGAACAACCCAATGCCTAACCCAAAACAAACCTGACCCCTCAACCGAAACAACCCCCAACCCTGAACCCTTCTAAACTCAAAACGCCAAACCCGAACGAATCCCAAACCCTAAACTACCCCGGTCCCTAAACATGCGGTCCTGAGAACTACTACTCCTACTGCCACATGGCAATTTTCAAAGCAGCACAATGCCCAAAAACGGAGTCCGGGAGGTACGCTGTCCGGTTACGTCTGGCCCGGGACGGGGTTCGGGTCACGTCCAGGTCGGGGTCTGGGCGCGGGGGTGCGAAAAAAAGTGATGGTGCGAGATCTCAGGGCAAGTGGTGCATGGCGTGAACATATATAGTTCTGAGCCTACCCCTACCCGGCACAAGCAGCTCAGGCTGTGTCTGATCTCGTGGAAGATGGCCGCGGTGGAGTGGACCCTTGCGAACAGGCGCCGAATTCATGATAGTCTGATCGCGGGCACCATGCCAGAAACAAGCACAACTGCAGATACGTGCAGGCGCGTCTCCCTACCTCGATCTTCGTTTGCTAGGGATTGCAGGGAGCCAGATCTACCCCTGCAGGACGCAGCACCAGCAGCACTCAGAGCCAGAAGGCGCTCAAAACAGAACCTTTCAGCTCTCACACCATCAGTTGGAAGCCTGAGCGACGGTGCTTTACGGCCTGCAGCGGGCTTCACGAAGCAGAAACAGTCGGCCGCCCAATGCGAATCAAGGTGTTTATGTTGCTTGAGCAAGTCTTTTGAGTTCAACGACGTTGTTGCATGTGCCAGATCTATAAGCACATGTCAGCACAAGTGCGCAATGCCCTGACTTGAGTTAATTTAGGAAGGCGAATGGTGGCTCCCCAATGTCGATGATAACAGTAGAATGCAATGGATTGAGCTGCTGTGCCACTTCCTTAGTTCGCACGCGGCAAATCTTGATTCGTCTTACTTGTAAGCTCAAGCCCTGCATCTGCAAATCTATTTACGGCTGCGGCCGCGATTCTGGCTAAGGTGTTGAAGTTCTTACATGTTTGCAGCCTGTTCGGCGAAAGTGCCAAAGGTTCGCCCTTGACAGCAAAAAACATTCCTAGGGGATTAATGCTGGTTGGGTCGCTAAATTCCCCCACCCGCAAGTTTCCAACCATCTTGGCTTGTTTGCGTTGGCTGAATTAGTTTCAGGCTCTGATGTTTGTGCGGGGAGGAGCAGGTGTCCGCGAAGATACTCTGGCAAAACGTGCAGTCCTCTGAACTTCGTGAAGCCATAAAGTGAGAACATGGGACAGATAAGACACGAGCTTAACAGCTTAACAGCTGACCCTTCCAAAGCAGGGAAGCCTTCCGAACTTTGCCGGGCAAGGCCACCGGCCAACTCATCCCTTGGAGGATCTGAGTCATCTGCTCCCAGATGCACCTTGGCCCCAGCATCATCACTACATAGAGCTGCTTCCAGATCTTCCAAACAGCCGCTGCCCTGTAGCCAAGTGGCAAGATCCTGGAAGGAGTAGCTGACCCGGGGCCTGAAAGGCAAGAAAAGGAATTGCTGCCACAAAAAGGCCATATGAATTACAGACGTGACAAGCAACAAGTCTTTCTACTATTCGGCTTGTCACCTTGCTCACCTGTACATCTCATGCTGGGGCTTGAGTCTGCACGGCCCTTCAGCCTTGAGTTGAAGCGAGGTTTCTAAGTCCTAGATCTCTTGAGGAGGACGTGATGCAGTGATGCACTTGCTAATTTGCAGCTCATTCTGCTGCAGCTTAAGAGCTGTGCTCTTCACGACAATCGGCTTTGACACTTGGCCTTCTGAACCATGCGGCTCACTTGCGCGGCGGAGATAAGGTCTTCTTTCAGGAAGTTTTTGGATGCAGCTGGCGCTGTGGCCGGGGCTGACATGGCTGGCGAAGCTGGTGGCATGGGCAGCAGTGCAGCCGGAGCACTGCACCAAGCAGCACTTCCCTTTCCACCTCTGCCAGCTCTCCTCGCGCTATAGCCGCCATGGGGCTCTGGGACAGATGCAGGAACAGCCTCTGTAAGAGCCTCTTTCACCTTTGCCAGTGACCTCTTCTCGCTGCCATCGAAGCCCCAGCAAACTCTGTTTGCATATGCCATGTGCCCATCTGTCTCCTGCCACAACTTTACGTATGTTTTCGTGGGGGGCTTTTCGTGGGGGGGCCTCAATCATACGACTTCAGGGGAATCGCTTCTTTTCGGCGTATAGCTCACCTGTCGTGGTCAAGATTCTGCTAAGGCGGTTGATGGATGATGATGGATGTAAAGCGCTCCAGTCTTGTTAAGTTTGCCAGCAAACAGGCCCCGTACCTGGATGGCGAAGCAGTCCTGGGGTCCAGCCATCTCACCTGTATTCCCTTGCGCGTAGAGCTGAAGCCGTATATTGTAGGGCTCCACATGCCCAACATCGTTCCTGGTTTCTGCGCAGTATCCGCACGTCATGCTCCTCAAAAACCTCTGCACCCGCGTAAAGATTTAGATGGTGCGCAAGATGCGGGCACGCTCCCAACAGGCTCCCCGCACATCATCGTGCCTGCTAGCGTGCTGAGGCGGACACGGGCGCCGGTGTTTACAAGTATGTTGTTTGTTAACGGTGGAGGTTTGGGAAAGGGACAGACAGGCAAGGCTTTGGCCCTGTCACGGAAATCGTCCGCTCCAGAACCTACAGTATTTGTAGTTGCAGAATTTCCACCTGTAAAGCTCCTACAAGACTCAATAGACCCTACCAACTCATGCACGTGATCCGCCTTTGTCTAACCCGAAAAATCCTGCTAAACTCAAGCGAATGCTAACCCCAGGAGTCTCCATCTGCACGCTTCGCAGGCCGAAAGCACGCAAGTTCTCACAGGCCCTCGTCGAGGCATCTTCGGCGGAGATTTCGCGCCCAGCATGGCGCTCTTGCACTTGAACCTTGAGGACTTCCTCCTCTACCTGTCGCTGCAGCTTGGAGAGCGCAAGCTCTTCTGCACTACCGTTGATAATCACGTCAGCCAGCATGGCAGCCTCAGCAATGGTGTGGAAATAATCAAGATGCTCTGTTTTTGTTACAAATGTGCAAGGGAGTGCAAGCTCGCCCCAACCACCTGTGGCCAGCCACAGTTGGTCCTGTTTCAGTCTGACTTCATTTAGTGGTGTTGCACAACATCACCGAAGCCCTTTAGCAGCGTTCCCCAAAATACACTTCCCTAATTTCTTTTATGAAAAGTCGTCTGGTCTGGGTGGCGTCAGCTGTCATTAGACGACAACCACATGCTCCTCATCATACTGGCTGGAAACATGTTCGGCAATGCATTGGCCAACCGACTTGAATGATCATACCTTCTGGTTCCCATTTGGACCACATCTGGCAGAAAAAAGCACAAGTATTTATTAGAAGTGGATACGGAGCCTGATGATGCGACATCCATCCACGTCATGAGCTTTGCGATGTTGGAGGAGCATCCACTTTCAGCAAGGTGTCACTACAGTTTGTTCCCCTTGGTTGTTCAAAGCTTCTTCTTGCAAGGCTGCACGCAGTCCAGTGCAGGATACTTTCGACTTCACGTGTCTGTTCGCTTCGTGCGCACAATGACGGGCAAAGCAAGCAAATCCCATCACGTTTTATGGTCGTTCAAAAAGGGAGCACTGCAACAGCTCCTTGCCCAAACACCACACATTACAACTGTAATTCTGTCTGTCTCGCGTTGTAATTGACAGATTAAGACTTGCTGAGAGAGCTGCCTGCTCAGTCGCTAAGAAAACGACTTGTTTAGCTGCAAAAGGAAAGAAAAAATCTCTGCTGCCGCCAATTGCCATGTCCCAAGCAAATGCGCACGCGAAACAGGAAACTCCTCAAGGTTAGGTGAAATCTCGTTCAGCGCACAAACAGGTCCTTAAAACAAGAATAGTTCCGCGGATTTGCCTATCACCTCCAGGTGTGTGTGCTGCATGAAGAGTTTTTTGAAATAGTGTTGCTTGCAATTGGTAAATAACCTGAAGGCATTGAAACAACTAATAGTTACTCTGCTCATTCTTTTCCTGCTTCTCTATCTCTTCCTTGCAAAAGCTATGCGCAATCCAGAGGCCATACCAGGGCTGTCCGAGTTTGGGATTTACTGTGCTTGACCCCTCGCACATTGAGGGGCTCGGCAAGGTGAATAGCTTAATGGCGGAGTGGGTAGAGTAGTGCCTCTTTTAAATGGCCTCCCTTGTGGCTCTTGTGGGGTTTGGCTTGGTTAGGTGCAAAAAGAACTCGCATAATGCCAGTTTGCAGCCTTCCCTTTCTGCTCTTGCTTCTGGGACATGTCACACGACAATTTCAAGAAACTTCGCGGGCAGGCATACAGATCCAATCGGAGCTGAGAGGATGTTGAATTAACGTATCCTCGAATCCAAAAGAAAGCGAAAGACAGCCTTGCAATTGCAGCGAGGCAGCGGAACTAAGTGCAACAGCCTGGCCACCAGTGATTTCAGCAACTGAGCAGAGGAAGTCCCGCGCATGCGCATAGCTTCCCAACGCCGGCTCACAGCCAACGCTGTACCTCTCACATATCTTCTGCACTGATCTCACACATGCTGCGCACAACCTCAAGAACCTCTCTCCCAATAAGCGGTCAAGGCACACGGTAATTCCGTGCGCTGCCATGGTGCGGAGGATGTCCAGCGGGTCATGACCATCAGGGTCTCCGTTTGGGAAGCCATCACCAGTCCTTGCTGACATTCATTGGCCCTCAAAGCTTGTCCGAGCATTTAGGTTCTTTTGGCTACAAATGATTCCTTGATTATCGGATGTTTGCGCTTAAACTTGATCCGAATGCTAACTCCCACCTCGCCACCGCAAAGCAGAAAAGGCAGTTGCGTGACGGTCACGCATGGTTGTAGCAACTTTGCACACCAGATCTGTGCAACTCCGAAAAATGGAGTCTGGCAACTGTTACACGCATCAGTCGGTACATCGGTGGGAACCAGTTGCCCAAATCGGTACAAGAAACATATGATGCATGGAACTTTCCAGAGTCTGCTGGCAGTGCTTCTGCTCGTCTGAAAGGGCTAGGATGAAACGTGTTGAGGTTCGTATTAGTCATCGTGAGGCGAAGAGCTGCAACAAGTCAAAAAGTTTTTTTTGTAGAGAAACCGCGTGCATGTGTTAAACTGTTAGAGATGGGTGTACAGCCAGGCCCCCGGCCAATTCAGAACAAGGTCACAGAACAGCTTTGAAGAGTCAAGGAGGAACCAGCACCTTCCAATTAGGATCCTTGTCTCCTCAAAACCCACTTCACGTTGCTTTGCTAGGACCTTAATTTCAGAATTGAGGCTACTGAAGGAGAAAATGTTTGCTGTCTTGAAATTTGCAGAAGATGGGCGGCTCGAGACCATGTGGAGGGGCATCGGCGATCAAGACCTGGGCAAAGCTGCGTGAATAGTAAAGCAGACATGCTAAGATGATTCCACGTTTTCTACTAGATTTGGTACACACAAACTTGCAAAGCCTTAGAAGCCTCCAAAAAATCTTCCAAGCCCAGCCAGGACGCGCAGATCTTGGTGGAGTTGGGCCGCCAAGGGAGATTCAAAGCAACGTGGAGACCTGCAACAGCAAAGCTGAAGTCCACTGAAACCGTGGTATTCTAGGAGCACGGAGACAATATGCGCAGAATCGTGAAGAATGTGCTTTCCATCCATGTGTTTGTTTGGCCGTCGGAGAAAGTCAGATCTGAAAGCCAACCATCACCCTTCTTGCAGCTTTAAATCGAATCTCTGAAAGTCTGCAAGAAGCATCGTGGTGCTGCAAGTTGGGCATCCTGGCCTGCAGTGACAGCTTCTGGGCCATCGCCACCTCCCTTGGCCTCGGCCAAAGCTTTTGTTACAGCTTTGAGAAATTTGGGACACAACAAGGCACCAGAAAGAATAATCCTTGACCAGCCACTTGCATGGAATTGACATATTCAGACATCTGGGACAGGTCAGCAGTGAATGGATGGCATTCTGTGACGAAAGTCCGGTCCTGCCATCAAGCAAGCAATCACCAGTACTTCCCAAAACTCTCTGCTACCTACCGCTTGTCACCTGTGGAGGGTGATCCCGGTAGCGGATGAGGCCAAATCGAACCTTTCAAAGTGCACTTTGACCTTCATGGCAAAGCCAACAAATCGCAAGTCACATGAAAGGTCCAACCTTGGCTCCATTTGTCTGCGAGATCTTGGCTACAATGCGCTGGATGTTATCCTGACTCGACGAATTGTACTGCACCATGCCACGTGCAGGTCTGAACTACTGAACGAAAAGATGTACAGTAGTGCTTTTGGCAGCCATCTGTGCTTGTGGAAGTGCACCCCAAGACCCGGAAAGCATCCAGAGACACCTGTCCTGCGCTGCTTTGATATATTGACCCATCGAGCCAGTGCAGTCACCTCGTCCCACAAGGAAGCCAATCAACCAATCTGGCTCTGGATCTTGCCAAGACACAGATGAAGCAAAGATCCAACTCCGCGTCCGGGTCAAGGCCACATCCTGCTGTGTCCGCAGAAACAATGAGATAAGCCCGGCTCAAACTGCGTGACCACTGTTTCAGAGTTTTGCAAATATGCCACTGGGGTTTCACTGAATGCGGCGAGTGCGCAGGCCTGGCGGCAAAAGCGACCGACAGTACATACTCGGGAAGTGTCCTGTCTTGCCAACATCGTCCACAAGCAACCAATCCTTCAAACAGAGTCAAACATATATATATTCAGGTTCACGCTGGTAGCAACCTCTTAACTTTAAGGTCCTCGGAGCGGCACTCGGAAGATGCTTCCACGCATCGTTGGTCTTTGGTCTCCTGCAAGCAGACCGTTCAGTGCAACCCGCACAGCATCCAGGCACGCCTTGTCTGCGGTGGTCACATCCATCTCTGCAGGGAGCGACATTGGCTTGTGTCGTGTTGAGGCACGGCAGGCTTATGCCAAACGGCTGCGGTGGTCAGCATGCCGTACGAGACATGCAATTCATGCACGGATGCTACCCGTCCATGACCCAAACATATCAAAGCTGCACTTGCTTCACTGCACCTGGAGTCCAGCGTCGGTGCTGGCTGAAGGATCACCCGTCCGGCAACTTGCTTGTCCTGGATCATTGGTCATGGCGACCAAAACTGTAAGGAGGGCAAGGGCCGCGCCAACAAGTGAGCCATCAGCTGGGCTATCTGAGTGCGTCTGCTGTCTTGTCAATCCCGTTGGATGAAGATGTGCTGGAGACCTACGCACGCCTGCAAGATGCTAATAAGCTTGTGTTCGATTTGCGAGCCGTGCATGCCGTCGGGACTGTCGGGGCTTCACTGCTACTTTTCGCCTTGTCAAAGCATGTCTGTTTGCGTTTTGGATCTGCAAAGCTTGCCAGCAAGCATATGGCAGAAGGTGCATGCGCTGGTATGCTAGTCCAGTTCACCTCATGTCACCACACAATATCCAAACAAGTCAGACGGGTCTAGCTGCGCCAATCAAAAGATAATCCCCAGACTTTTTTGAGGCTTTGCTGCAACCCGTCACAATCCTAACCCCTCACCCACTTGGGCGCCGAATCCCTAAATTCCTCCGCCCTAAACCCGAAATCCCTAAGTCAGTCCAGACCTGCAATAAATTTCTGAAACCTGCATCCAAAACTTGTGGACCCTAACTTGCAAACAACCCTACAACCCCTGTACCCGAAATCTCTCACCAAAAACCCTAATTCTACTGAATCCCTCCTCATCAACCCTAAACCATAAATCCATAAAAACACCGACCACGGTCAAATCAAGATGGAACACCCATCCAGCGCTCTTTTGAACAGACTCTGGACTTTATAGGCGGGTTCCATGTTGGTAACCCCTACAACCCCCTAAACCCTAGAGCCCAGATCTTCTCCCCCCTGATGTCTTCCAGTACCTGCCTCATGTGAATGCAGATCCTCCGCAGACATGAGAATTCCTTCGCCGCTCTGAACGTCTCGATGCCTGAAGACCTCATCCACCAGCCCTTCTTTACAGAACCGCCACCGCAACCACCAGCACCCGCACCGCACCCACCACCACTGTCGCCATCACCACTGTCGCCGCTGCCGTCAGCATCACAACTGCTGCCGCCACCGTCGCCACCACTGGCTCTGCGCGAGCGGACCACGCAGCAACCACGAACACCAAGTTCCCTCAGTTAGCCCGGGTGCAATCTCCTAAGTGAACGCAAACGATTTGAAGCCGCAACCCAAATCCAAGCCTTTGTTCCTTCTTTGGCTCTGCACTCAAGCGGTGAAGACACGTAGCAAAGCGAGGACACATTCTTCCGAGCCAGGGGGAAGCTTTGCCCCCCGTCCTGAGGCAGATTCACCCAGGGACATAGTGAGACCTGCGCATGTCTCCCTGCGTCTCACAGCTGCATGGAGCCTTTTAGCCCTCGGGCGTCCTTGCAAGGAGCTTTGCCATGTCACTTTGCAATAACACACTTACAGCCTCAAAGCTTTAAATGCAAGTTGAGCCTGATTGTTGCAGTTCTTTTTTGATGACCGTCGGTATGCCCTTAGCCAGAGGCCATGGATCTGTCTATTGTCTCATCTGGTTTTGGCACAATATCGCAGAGCAGCAGCAAGTCTATCTCCGGGTCAAGGACAGCATGTAGTAGAAGCCATCCAAGGTCCAGCAACCTGCCTGCAGAGCAAGTCGGAAGCTATTTAGACTGCCTTGAACTAATCAAGCCGAAGGTTTTGTAGAAGCAAGGGCAGTGAGCACTCAGCCATGGCCAGTAATCTGCACAGCCTCAAGAATTCATCAACCTGTCCCTCAAGGCTTTGTTCTTGATTGCAAAGCCGATGCCAGGCTCCCTTCAAACAGAATCGGCCTCAATTTTGCGGCCTTGACTGCATTTGGAGACAAACCTGCCTGCAAGGCACCCTCCGCTGCGGGCCCACAAGGTGTGCGAGAAGTCCTTTGACTACTTTGATCGGATTTAGAGAGCTTTGCTGTTTGCACCATCTCTTCGTATACGTCGTCCAATGCTCTCGCACATGAACGGCTGCATACTGAGCTAGTTGATGTGCTTTGATTGTTGCTCGTCAGCCTCCCATTGCCAGCGACAAGTGTTTGATAACACACTCACTCCGAAGGAGATACAGAGTAATTCGGTAAGAGGTGTTTTCAGAAGCACAGCTCTCTGATCGCGGTAATGCAGTCAAGGCTCATTACATAAGTCTTCGGGTCCACATGAACCTCTGCGGCTTCATGTCCGTGTTTGAATCTTTTGGTGATGTATCATGCCAGAGCACAGCACCATGCGTTGCAAGTTGTGACACTAACAGGCGCAAACAAGAGCTCCAAATCCACCGACGCTCTCGAAGTTCAAACTGCCGGCCGTAGGAAACACCAAGAACATCTGTAAATCCGAAATGAGTGTTGATGCAGCATTGTGGCTGCGGCTGGACCGAGCAAAAAAAAAAAAAAACTGTTTCAGACTGCTGTATGGCTGCACAAGAATTGACGCACATAGATGCGGAGCAAAAGCACACGCAAAACCCGCATGCTTTGTGCAGAATGACTGGACATCATCAAATGCGGTCTACTCTTCCAGTTGCATCCAGCATGACATTGTTGCCCGAGATTAGCACCCGCAGCACAACGGAAGTGAGTGCTGCGGGTCAATAGGAAACACGGCAAAGCAGGAAGAGTGCTGCGGGTCAATAGTACAGGCCAAAGATTTTTGCCAGCATTCTTTGCGGCTGCAGAGCCTTGCTGAAGCTAGTTCGCAGCCTTGTCAAGCCTGTGGGAAGACTAGGCTCACGCTGCGCTGAGTCAGCACTTGACTTTAAGATCTTTGAAGAGCGTTGAGATTTCGATGAAGAGACCCTGCTGAAGCTTCACTGAAGCCATCTAGAGATGTGCGTGCACGACACGTGAAATAACGTTTGAAAGAGCAATCCTCTTGAGACATGTCTGGTGTCGCTTCAAGGGACACCTACCCTTGCTCAGCTCCCAGCCACACTGCTCAGCGCGTCAGACCCAGAGACTCGAATCCCAAAGCTGCGGTCAATGATAGCACCAGCACCTACCAGGTCCATGTCTCGTAGCCAGCTTGCGCTGCAAGGCAAAGCAGCAAAGCAGCAAAGCAGCAGGGCACCTTGGTGCCCGTTCAACCGAAGGCGAATCACGACACTCCTGGGGTCGACATGGGCACTGCGAGCTGCCACACTTGTTTGACTTTTCATGAACTATGTTTGAACAAGACCTGTTGCTCCGGACGGAACATGCCTTGAAGGCCAGTGCTTCGATTGAGATGCTATTCCAGACTTAACGCCCTAAGATCTTGCGCCGTCTCAAACCTCTCGCCATTTCCAGTACAAAAAAGAAAGTGCTGTTGCTCCAAAGATGACTGTAAGCTGCCCTTGGCAGGCAGGGTGGCACGACATCACACCATACCACATTTTGAATTTTCCAACTCTCAACACGCTGCACAGCATTTCAAGACTATTGGACAAGACGAAATTGCACTGCTGCAGCACTGTTGCGACACCTGGAAGTGCAGATGCCAGATAATTCGATCTTGGTTTTGAACTTTACGTACCCAGTGCCGCTTAGCGGGATGTGAAGTCAAAATTCTACACACCAACAGGCAGAGAAATTACAAGCTGCAAACCTGCAATACAGATTGGCCCCTTGCCTGCCTGATCTCACAGGACACCGGAATGACAACGTAGCGGTACAGGCGCCGCTCCCTGCCGAGGGCTTGACATGGCTGCAGACAGGCTACCAACACACAATATCAATCACACAAAGGTGCTAATCGCTGCTGAACTTCCCAAGCCAAGTGGCGCTGGGCCACTGCCGAGGCGAAGGTCTGTGGCACAAGGCCTTCCAGTCAAATGTCCCCGCTTGCGCTGCTGAACCCTTACGCTTGCTAGCGCTGAGGTCAGGGCACAGTTAGACCATTCAAGTACACCTGCTGTCTGCATTGACACCAGTAAGCACCAGTGTACTTGGCAACTTCTACTAGCAGCCACTTGAACCATGTGGGGTTCCTTAGAGGGAGGCCCAACCCCCTCTCAGATTATTCTTTTGGAAAGTTGTCGTGTACGTGCGGGAAATTATTCCACATGGCATCCAGCTCTTGGAATGTTTTAGCTGCTCTGCTCTCTCGAACAAAATTCCGACCAATGTCCGAGTTCATGAACCGTCATGCATTCATGTAGATGTCTGCTGTTGTCCGCAAATCAGTGAGGACTGCTCCAGCATAGAAGCCAGTCGCACAAAAACGTGTGGGACCACAGCAATTATCTGTGAGCCCAGGCGCAAGAAAGACCCAAAAAGATTGGAAATTGGAGCGTTGCCCGCAGAAAATTGTCTAGACGCTGCTTTCCATGGAATAGCTGCTCTCCTCATGTACTCCTGGAAAAGAGAACATCATGTTAATGAAACTCATTGCAAGGAAACTTGTTTTGGCTACAATGCTATTCGCTTTGCATTACATCAACCAACGAAGCCTAAACACTATGCCCTGTTACCGGTAAAATCTATTCAACCCCAAGACCTCACAACCCTGGATGCAGCCCTGCAAGCCCTCAAAGCCATGTCGCCCTGAAACCCTGTAACTATGAGCCGTAGGACCCTATGAAAAGCAAAAACCCTGTAAAGCCCAAACTGCAACCGTAAGACCTTGTAATACCATGAAACCTAAGCCGCAACCTTCCAACCCAGGCCCTATCAGCCCTACAAAGTTCTACCAAACCTCAAGGATATGCCTTAACCCTTTCGATCCTAAGGACTCCGACTCGTGTAAACAGGAAAACCACAAAACATCATGATCGTAGCCAAAAAAATGCCAGCTTTAACGTCGGAAGTCTTGTGCAAGTCAAAAAGGCCATGGGGACAGGGGAAGCTAGGGGAGGCAATGGGTTGCAAGCTGGTGAT